TATTTCCTCTCCTCAATCTCCTTGAAGTGAAAAAAATAAAGACATGGACGTCTTAACTCAGAATACTGTGTACGTGGAGGGTCTGTGTAGCAGAGGTTGTCATTGAGTGGCAGTCAGAGATCGGCTAGCATCGTGCTCCACTCTGCCCAGATATTAAGAGTGATAACTTGTACCAGTGGCTCAATGGGCCGAGGCTGGGGGTAGGGGGTCAGGGGGAGGCTGCATCTCTGACCTCCTCTGGCTTCCCTGTTGCCACGAGGCAGAAGTCAGACGTGCCTCCACCCTCCTTCCTTCTCCACCTCTCTGAGACCAACTCTTCCTCCCTCTACACTCTACTTCTGGGCGGGGTTCAATAATCAGTGCAATAGCCACACCGAACTCACAGACAATACTCACCATGAAGGTTTATTCGGGCGGGAAGGTAACAGGTTGCCCCAAGTCAAGAGCAGTCAACAGGAAGGATCCAGGCACCGGCGTACAGCAGCCCCTCCCCTCATCTCTCTCCAGTGCTCAGCCTTTCAGTGATGTGGTCTCTTAGCCTCTACTTCTGTGGGCCAGGAAGCGCACCTGCTTCTCTGCCTCACAGTCGCATGGTCTTGGCGCTACCCCTCTGTTCTGCCTCGTGGTCTTCCTGCCTCAGCCTCCGCTCTCAGCCTGGCTCCTTTCCTCGGCCCCACGGCTTCCATGTTGCAGCCTCTGGTGCCTCCGGTCTTGGCCTCCACCACTTCAAAGGCTCTGATGCAGGTGTGGCTGTCTTTCAGCAGACCGTACCCCCCGAGGAAACAAAGAGTGGTGACTTGGTTCACCCCCGCGCCTCAAGTGGAGACTTAATCCCACCTTCATCCTTTCTATTAATATTTCAGAGAACTCCCTCCAAAATGGGATTATAGCCAAAAACATAGAGGCCAGAATTTATAAGACATCACACAAGGGATTAAGGCTAGAAGGGCCATATTAATTGACTGCATCACATAAATCTAAAAGAAGTGAGTCGTTCCTGCCTCCCATCGCTTGCTATTAGCCTTCTAAAGCCCCCTTTTCCCCCCAGGTTAAATATTCTTTCTAGAACTAGAACATCAGGGAATAATTTCTTTTTATTGTGAACATTTTCCAACAGAAAAGCAGAGCCGTGGATATAATGAACGCCCATATACTTGGCACTTTGATTGAACAATTGTTAACATTTTTGTCATATTTGTTTTTATTTTTTATGAAGTATTTTAAAATTAATTATAAGTATCATGACATCTCACACGAAAGAATACTTTAGTGTACATCATCAGAGAGTGTTCAAGATCGCTTCTGTCATCCACCTTGTTGGAGGAAGATTTCAGGGTGTTGTGCATTTCTTAACCGAATAAATCCAGTTGTCACCCCACTATGTTCATCAGGGCATCATTCTGTCACTCGTAAAGAGGAAATTTTGGGTGGAACCCAAAGGAAGTCTTGATTGATCTAGAAAGAGGAAGGTAAACAGCATACTAACTAAATGCTCAGGAGACACTAAATTGGGAAGTGTGATAAGCACAAATGATGCCAGAGAGAACATGCAAAACACTTGGAGGAATTAGAAATCCAACTGAACAATGCATGTACTTATTTCTGAAATGAGAATTGTTTAAAGCATTAGCAGTTACAGAAAGGCTGGGCACAGTATGATGTGGAACAGGCCAAACAATAGAATGTGTCATATCTGCAAACTCATTGTTGAACTGTTTAAAAAAACCACAATAGTAGCAATAGTGACCGTGCCCATGATGTGAAGAATAGAAGGCTAGACGGGGAGGAGGCGGCTACTGAGCTATGCAGACAGAGCCCCCCTCTACTGGGGCACAGCCGAACGGAAGTGTGTCAACCCCCAAGAGGATGTCTAGGACGTCTGAACCTTGAAAAGCCCTGGTTCACGTACACAGGATGAGATCGCATTCCTAATAGGCAGCATGTAAGGAAAGCAGGTGTCGTTCGCTTTGCTCTGCACTTCGCTGCTGAGATCAGGGTGGGCTGAGAGCTTTCTACTCTGGATGAGAGAGGGGCTGCCTAGGTCTGTGGACCCAGAAATTTTGCCAAATGAAAGGGAAGCCAGTGACCTGAGCGACGGCGATTTTCCGTATGTCCAGCCTGTCCCAGCCAGCTGAGGGAAGGGATTTCGTGTTAGACATCAGCATCCATCAAGGAGGCGATGAGATTGGAACCCTTATGGACTGCGGTGGATACAACCGGACTGTAAAGTGGTACGACCACGATGGAAACAGAAAGGCACTTTCTCAAAGCTAGAAATAGGACTGGCCGATGATCCAGCAATCCCACTCCTCGGCGTGTGCCCCGCCTCCACCCGCTGGCATCGAGTGTCGATTCTGACCCGTGGTGACCGTACAGGTCAGACTAGAACCTCCCATGTTGTTTCCAAGGCTGACGTGGTGGAAGCAGACTGTGCATGTGGGTCCCCTTTAACAATCGAGGGGTTCCTTTTGGTTAGCAACTGAGCCCCACCAGAACTCCTGGTGTACACTCCAGCCTCAAAACACTCACGGCCACTGAGTCGATTCTGACTCCCGAGTGACCCTACACAACAAGGTAGAATGGCCCACGTGGGTTTCCCACATTGTCATTCTTGATAGAAATAGAAAGTTTCATCTTCTCCCAAGGAGCGGCTGGTGGTTTTGAACAACAGACCTTGTGGTTCACAGCCCAACATGCACCTCCCTGCACCACCAAGGCTCCTTATAGACGCTAAACTGAGGGGCCTAAAAATAATGATAGGAGCAGACATATTCACACTCGTGTCCATTGCTACTTTATTCACAATAACAAATGTAAATAAAAGAAGTGTCCATTAACGGATGGATGGATGGATGGATAAGCAGCTTGTTGTACCTACACATGATAGGATACGGTGCAGCCATAAAGAACAATGCGGAGAACATGGGGAAGGTTTTATAACATGGATGAACCTGGAGGGGATCATGCTAAGTGAAATAAATCCAGCACAAAAGGACAAATCTTGTCTAATCTCACTTCTATAAGGCGTCCGGAGTAGAGCAATAGAGAGGGGCCAATGTTCATTCCTGGGGTCGAGGGGAGGTAACGTCCACTTTACAGCGGACCCTAGTCATTTGGGGTGAGGGGGAAAGTGGCACCAAATGAGAATATTGTGAGCAAAGCCCAACCGAAGTCAGAGTGTCTGAGCCCGCAGGGATGGGAAGAGCAAACCTGCAGACAAACAGGTCTGGGGGAGAGCAGATGGAAGTGCTCAAAGGTAAGGTGACCAGATTGTAACACTGGTAAAGCGGGACGCCATTGATAAAACTCAGATCCTGGCGAAATAGCCACATGGCAGCCGAAAACCGTATGCCCTAGCTTGTCGTGCATTCTTTCCAAAAATCGGGACTTTGTTAAAACGCCGCAGGACGTGGGAAAAATTGTTCAAAAGCGGGACGTCTGGTCACCTTACTCAAAGGGTGTGTTGATCCAAATATGTGGAAGCAGGCGCAGTGCAAGGGGTTGTCAAACAGTTCATGGAAAATGAATTGAAAAGATCATGGAATTTTCCACCCGCTTTTGAAGCTCCCTGAAGGCACCACTATTGATAATCTTCAGATATAATGAAACACCTTCTAAGATTGGTTTTCTGGACTTAAAGGCTTAGGACCGTAGCCCCGTGGGACACTCAGCAAATTGGCATAGCACGGTTCACAAAAATCATGATCTGCAGCCGAGTTCAGTGAGTCGCGTCTGGGGGTCTAAAAAGCTTACAAGAGACCATCTAATGTACAACGATGGGGCTTTACTCTCCAGGAGGAGAGCAGTAAGGAAATAACCACACAGCTCAAAGAAGAGACGAGTAGACACTTTTCTCTCCTGAGGCCTGAAGAACTAGACGGTGCCCCACTGGCTGGTCTGACTGGAGTCACTCTGACTGATTCCAGAGAGAAAGAGAGAAGAAAGAAGTGCACAGACTTCTTCTTTAAGAAGAGGAAAGCCGAATGATGGGGGCAGTGCGGAGTGGAGATCCAAAGCCCATTAGTAGGCCACTGGAGATCCCCTTGCAGAGGGGTCTCGGGGAGGAGATGAGCCAGTCAGGGTGCGATGTAACAATGACGAGAAATACAACCTTCCTCTAGTTCCTAAAGGTTTCCTCCCCGCTCCCACTACCATGACTCGAATTCGATCTTGCAAGACTGGCTAGACCAGAGGAGGTGCACTGGTACAGATAGGAACTGAAAATACAGGGAATCCAGGGCGGATGAGCCCTATAGGACCAGTGGTGCGAGTAGCAAAACAGGGAGGGTAAAGGGAGAATGGGTAGGAAAGAGGGAACCGATTACATGGAACTGTGTGTGAACTCCTCCCTGGGGGACAGACAACCAAAAAGTGGATGAAGGGAGACGTCGGACAGGGCATGACAAAATACCCATTTATAAACTATCAAGGGCTCATGTGGGAGAGGGGAGCGGGGAGGGAGGGGAAAAATGAGGACCTAATGTCGGGGGTTTAAATGGAGAGAAAATGTTTTGAGAAATGATGTACAAATGCGCTTTACACAATTGATGTGTGTATGGATTGGGATAACAGTTGTATGAGCCCCTAATAAAATGTTTAAAAAATTAAAAAAAAAAAAAAAAAAAAAAAAAAGAAGAGGAAAGCCAGGCAAACGAGAACTGTGGAGAACACAGGAATCCTGGAGACTGTAAACCCAGAACCCAGCCTGTGCCCCAGTCTACCTCTGTTCACAATAGCCAATCAGCACACAATATAACGGATATCGCCCATAGGATCTCTGCCCCACTTAAAAACCATCCATATAAGAACAGGAGATCAGCCATTACTCTAAAGCAGGGGTGTCAAACTGGCAGCCCTTGGGCTGCATGTGGCCCCCAAGGTAATTTTTTGAGGCCCACGGTGCTCTGCAATAAATGAGGGAATTGTGTATGGTATTGCCTCTATCTCCCCTAAGCGCTATTTTCTTCCTAACAATTTTTTCTGTTTGCATTTTATTTCAGAGCATTGTGGGCCACACAAAAAATTACCTCGGGGGGCCGCCTATGGCCCGCGGGCCACCAGTTCGACACCCCTGCTCTAAAGCAAAGATGAGGAGGTCGGTAAGAATCCCAGAACAGGAACGAGCAGAGCACCTTCAGCGAGAATGTCGACCTATTGGGATACATGTAACTAGTGTCACTGTGCAAGTCGTGTGCCAAATGTTCAACAGGACCCTACCTTGCTGTATTGTGTAAACGTCCCCCCAAACTCAATAAAATACATCTTTTTTTAAACCTCTCTCGGTAGCGGCAAGCACTAGAAACCAAGGCCAGCCACTCAATCGAGGCCAGAGTCCCAGGCTGCCCCGGGTGGGCCCAGCTGAGCACCCCTGTGACTGACCACACCTGAGGAGCAGAGCTTTCTTCTCTGCCCTCCTGGCTCACATAAGCATGCCTCTGAGTCACTCAGCCCCCGCACCACTACCACGCTCCTTCCCCACCGGGTGTGCATGACACCAGGCATCATCTCCTCCCTCTCGGTAGCACAGCCACGGGAAAAGGAAAACCTTTGTTGATTGACAGGGCAATGAAACTCGCTTTCATTAGCCTGTGACAGGAACATGTTTTCTTCCCAAAGCGCCCCCTCTTTGGAAGAACACCATCTCTGCTAAGCTCCCTCCTCCAGCCTAACCCCTGGCCCTGGAGCCCAGGATCTGCTGATCGGCACGAAAACACATGAGCTCACTGGTGCTTATATAAGAACTCTTGGCAGGCCCTCCTGGGAGATGGATGGCAGCCGGGCCTCTGCGAACTCTCCCTTCCTTGTCTGCGCAGTGTGCTTTGTCTCTTCGTTGTCTCCCTGGAACAGAGGGGTCTGTACGAATGGTTCATTCAGGTTGCGTTGGGGTTTTGTAACAGAGAGGAGAAAACGGTTTCCTAGTGGATTCTAGTGGGTCAAGTTGGCACACTCGCTGAAGAAGAAAAACCAGCATCTGAAGGGCCAAGCTGCCTTTGGATGTGGGGCCCCATTCACCGGGGTCCCACTGCTCCTTCTCTGGGCTCTGGCCTGTGTTGGGGATATGTTGCTTTGGGGCCACTCCCGAGGAGCAATGAGAGAAATCACGCAGGCTCTAACGGCCTAAGTCTCCGAACTTTTCAGAGGATTCCGGCCCAAGTGTCCCCCCTGAGATGTTGGGGAGCAGGGTCTAGGATATGGGAGGGACAAAATCGACGGACTACCCAGCTTCTCTTAAAACAATATAGATGTGAGCCTGTTAGATGATCTCAGAGGCAGGTACATACAGAACATTCATCCTCTCTCATGGGTGCGGAGGCTCCATTTTCTTGAGAGAGGAGAGAAACTTCTAGAAGCCGCACGCAGGGGACCTCGAGGAGGTTTTCAAGGGAGAGAAAACGCAAGGGGGAGGCACCAGCTCCCAGAGATGAGGAAAGATTTTTACATGAGGATTTTGTTCTTCTCCTGCCCTACAGCAGGGAAAGGGAGCGGGTAATCAATGCTGCTCTCGCAGTTTCTCAGAACACAGGGGGCTTGGAGACAGGCCAGCCAAGAGGGCAAGTGTCCACCTGTGCCCTGGGGAGCGCAGACTCCTCTGGACCATCCGTGGTCTGGGATCTCACAAACCATCCATGAGGGCACCTCGTAACCACCCAGCATCGGGTCAGGAAACATGCTCCTCTCCCACTGCCCTGCACAGGACTGTGTTGTGGGGCCAACATGAGCCTCGGCATCCGGGATACAGGCAGGCGTGTCCCAGCGTGGCTGTCTCCCAGGTAGAGTGGCTGCACAAGCAGAGTGATGCATGCGCTCGCTGACTCATCAGCAAGTAGGCTTCAGTTCTACAGAGACACGTTTTTTAAGGAGGGGGGGCGCGGGGTGTGCCCGTTTGCCAGGCGATGTACTTAACCTCCTGACAGCTTTTCTCTTTTCTTTTCTTTTTTAAATCATTTTATTAGGGGCTCATACAACTCTTATCACAATCCATACACACATCAATTGTGTAAAGCACATTTGTACATTCATTGCCCTCATCATTCTCAAAACATTTTCTCTCCACTTAAACCCCTGGTATTAGGTCCTCATTTTCCCCCTCCCTCCCCGCTCCCCCCTCCCTCATGAGCCCTTGATAGTTTATAAATTGTTATTTTGTCATGTCTTGCCCTGTCCGACGTCTCCCTTCACCCACTTTTCGGTTGTCTGTCCCCCAGGGAGGAGGTCACATATAGATCCTTGACATCTTTTCACTGCGGTGCTCTCTCACTCCCCACCCCACCCCGTCTCTTCCCATCACCTCCTGCTTCATTCACCAAGCCCTGCTGCCTGCTTCTTCTCCATCTCCTTGCTTGTATTCCCCTGATGTTGCTTTGCCTTTTTCTCCCATCATTCCAATTTGCAAGTGTTTGTAGGTAAAAATCCAAGGATGGGAAAAGATCTTAAGGCCCACTGGCCCACTTGGGTGTCTCCAGGCCAGCCTGTGCTTAGGAGACAGACCAGAGGACCAGGCTTCATAACCCCATTGTTGGAACCACTCCATTGTTCTCACCCTCCACCCCACCCCCTCGGCCCCAATCCAGAAATTGCCCTTCATGTCTACCTTAAACCTCCCCCTTCCCTGTTTGCTGCTCTTCCTTTTTCTCGTCACCTCTTGAGCTTCTTCGGAGGTATCAAGTACTTTTATGGATCCAGAACTGTTGGGAATTCTAATGCGAATGGCTGGATATCTCAGGCCATAGGATATTAGTTTCCGAGTAACATCAACCGAATCAGGAACAGAAGCAACTATAGACACCCGTGGCAGTGAAGTGGGCTTGGTTTCCTGCAAAAACTAATAAGCCAAACTCCACAGTCATAACCCAACTGGAGCCACGACTTGTGGTAGACTCTCTCAATTAAAATGAAAATCCCGTTGAGTGGCGAGTTCTGGAATGACAGGTTCCTCCCGTTAGAAGGGCCCTTCTGGTGCATCCCGTCACAGGAGTTGGGAGCCAGCGGAGCACAAAGTCTTTCCCTGTGGATCGTGTGGAACCATCATGGCGGCCACTCTGCCTCGCGTCCCATTATCTATGTAGAACTCCTCTCCAAAGCTCCTCTCCAAAGGCCTTGCCCCAGGCCCCTGGGTAGGAGGGTAGCAGACCAGACCTCCCCTTAACTTGTTCCCAGGATGGCCACTTCTGATTCGTGTTCATGTGCCCGGCTAGCCTACCATCTTGACAGAGGCAGTTGTGTAGGGGGTGGGTCACGGACAAGGAGGCAGATTTGTAAACCTGAGGCATTTCTCTTTCTCCTCCAGATGGCAAGAGGCAGGAGACGCGAGTGAAGGGCAGGGGCTGCTACAGCAGGTTGCTGGCCCAGCTTCGAGCACAGCTGTCTTCTCTGTCGCATGAGAAGGAGTCACCCTTTGTGCGGCTCTGGGGTATCTTGGAGAAAGTATTCGCATAAGCAAGTAACCGTAGTTCCCAGAAACCACCTACTAAGGGCATGCTGATGGGAGCTTTTCTCTCTGCAGAAAACAAGTAAGACCCTCCGTCTTGGGAAACGCTGGCAAGCGTTCCAGGAGGCTGCTGTGGAAAGGAGCCAGCCCACGACCCCTGATGGGAGACCCCTGCGAGGACCATCCTGTGTCAGCACATGGCCCCGGATCTGCCCTGCAGCCTTCTGGGACCCCTCTTCCATCTGTCAAAGAAGGGCGCCCTGGAGACCTTCCTGCTTCAACGACCTTGCCTTCCCAGGGGCCCAGGCTGTGGCCTTGGAGAGGAGGCTGGCTTGTGGCACTGTGGTCCTCCACCAGACCCAAGGCTCCCCTTCACCCTGCTGGCCCAGGATCAGAAGAGAATCCACCTTGCTTCCCTCTTGAAGATCACTTGTGCCAGAACTCAGTTGATTGGGGGGAGGAGGGTCACAAAGAAAGTTTTCGATATGTCTTTTTTCACCTATACACACTCATTGTTTCTCTCTCTCTGTCACACACACACACACACACACACACACACACACACACACACACACAAACCCTGAAATGTAAGCAAACCTCCTCTGTGTCTCAAACCTATTTTCACTGGTGTAATGGGAAAGACTCGGATCCCACCACTGGAAAAGCCTGCTCTGCTCAGTGCTGCGGGGACCCGGGCAGACGGCGAAGGACAGGCCTTGAGACACCTCAGCTGGGGGCCCTTGTTGAGGACGGAAGCAGACTGCGGCAGAGTGGCTAAGGAGCACCGTGCCAGGGTCAGGATCCTGCCTCCCACTCCACCACCCCCGCTGCCCCCACACCCCGCAGGCCTGTCGTTCTGTCCTAGTGGCTGCCTGCTTGTGCCTGCCTGCCTGCCTGCCTAGGGTGCCGTGGACCTGCGCTTAGTGCACTGTGTATACATACGTATGTCTCCCTGTGGTGCAAATTAAAATGACAGCGGATGGCTGACCTCTGACCTCGGGTGGTTGCTCCTTCCCACCCCCTTGCCCCCCTGCCCCCCCATTGCTTGAGAAATCTGGCTCATCTGGCCAGCTGGGGGTCACAAGAGGCATGCGTACCCCTCTTGACAATTCTGTGGTCTTCCCACAGTTTTTCCCTGACAGGGAGGCACCTCTGATGTGCCAGCACTGGGAGGGCTTGAGATGCCACTGCCACCTCCCAGGTGGGCCCCTGCGAGGCAGTGGCTCCGTGTTGGCACAGTCGTCAGTTCAAAATCAGCGGCAGATCCGTGGGAGAAAGGGTGGGCTCTCTAACTCCCACAAACGGTGACAGTGTCAGAAACACTTAGGGGTCACTATGAGTCAGCATCGGATGTTAGGGAGTTTGGGTTTTACATGCTCACGGAGGGAGAGAAGAAGCCAAATATGCTCATAGGTAAGCCCCCTCCCAAATACTTTGAGGATCCCCAGTGGTCTAAGCAGTGCTCAACCGCTACCCGAAAGGTTGGAGGTTCGAGACTAGGCAAAGGTAGCTCATCAGAAAATTCTGGTTTCCCACTTTCAAAACATCCCCAAACCAACCCAAACTCACCACCATGGAGTCCATACCAACGCACAGCAAGCCCCTGGAGTTTTCTGAGCGTGTAAATGCTGACAGGAGTAGAAAACCCAGTTGTTCTCCCTCGGAGATGCTGGTGGTTTCGATCTACCAACCCCGGGGACAGCAGCCCAACATGGAACATTGCCCACTGAAAACCCTGTCAAGCACAGCTGCACGCTGGCCCACAGAACAAGGCAACCAGGTGGTTTGCAGGCTGGAGCTGGGCTGAGCCAAGAGCTTCAAGTCACACCCGGGTGAGACTCGGCA